TAAGTCCACAATAAAACTCTTTTCATGTATCTTATTTTATCTTTACGTAATACAAGTTTTTATGGCTCGACAGTTGCCAGTGTTGAATGTGGTAATAATGTTGAATGGCCGATGTTAATTCCATGCACACCTGTTGTATACACGGTTCAAGTGATTTGGGTTGACTGTTTTATGTAATGGGAAACTATATTGTCATTGGACAATGACTTGGGCTTTTTACATTCAGTGTCACTTTCAACGGGAACTAACGTATACAGTATTAGGCGGAGTACGCGGCTTCGCTCGCATGAATTTAGATGTCGTTTTTCATCTTACTCAAAGAAATCGTGCACTTTTTCACTCCATTCTATAGACAAATATTTAATAAACTATCCAAAAAAAAAACACTTTGATGTAATTATGTAATAATAAAAAACCCAAAAAACTTTTCATTTGATGTGTATTTATTAAGTTTTATTTTAAAGATTACATATTTCTATTACATGTAGAAGACATAATATGTAGAAAAGAGCGATAATTGACCCAAACTTGTATTTACTTTCGGGTTCTATAGCGTTTTTGTGTTTTGTGATCGAAACTTCGGGAGTTGAACGTCAAAATTAAACCTGATAAACTTCGTAAAGGAGTTATATTTTTTGGTAAACGAAGACTATTAAACTGCTAAAGGTTGCTTTGAATATTTCGAAGTGCTGTTTTCTTGGCAGTCTGCTCTTTGGTTTGACTAAGTACTGCAGTGTCCACGTTCGCCATACCCATGAAAAATATTTGCACCGTAATCTTAATGTGTAAAAATGGTCATAAAATTATGTAAAAACAAGGATTTATCCATGAAATGCATCGTATTTTGAAAAATAACGTCAAATTTAGCTCTACTCCATACATTGTTTATAAGAAAGAACAGTAGATTTTTTTAATAAAAATTATAATTTCATAAATGTATTTATATATGATAACAGCATGCAAAAGCTTCAAAATGGTATTTGGATCATTGAATTTGATGAAGAATAATGGAAGTTATGCGTACCTTGTCGGTACACCTATGAGAAATAATTTATATATTAGTTATGTTTCTAAGCTATTCCATAGGTTCAAAATACAAAATTTTATGAGAGAAGGTGGAAATCGATCAGTTCGTTCGAGGCAATGTCTCTTCACGCTTAATGTGCTGTGTCATTTACTTTCAATTGAGATAGGAGTTGATTATATTAAGATACTAGCATTATTGAAATTATTTAATATATATATTTATAACATTCTGTATTTTATAATACGTTGTTAAATTACTTACATAATTTCGATCTTGGTGACTCAAACTCATTAGTTGGTTTTTCTGTGGTAAAGCAACCAAAGTTGCATAATGGCTCCTGCTCTACGCAAAGGCAAGTTTTGCCGGAAAAATGCCTCCATTGAGAAGACTGGCGTGGAGCAAAATCAGATGCGTTTCGGCTGAACTTATCAACGACTGAACGAAGAGCTCTGCTCTTGAGTGAGGTAACCGGGGGCTTCCACATTCTGTCTTTGGTAACACGCCTGATATATTGTTAGAAGTCCAAATTAAAATTTCTTTATTCAATTAAGGCTTGTTACTGGCTCTTATAAATGTCAAACCATGGTTAACTGATTTTATAACCAAGAGAAGAATCGACAAGATGCGTTAATATATTGATATCATCATCCTTCTCTTATCGGCACAACTCATATTGTAAGTGGTGTTGGCTAGATTTTTTACAATCGGCTGCCTGCCTGATGTCGTCTCTCCATGGGAACGAACGCCCAGGTCTGGAACAATTATCTGTGGGTCACACAAATACTTGTCCCGTGTAATACCGGGAATACACCACCCCCGGTGCCGAAGCCAGTAGCTTAGCAACAGCGCCACCGAGAAACACACACATTCATTACCGCCGCCCACTTTTGCAACACTCGAGGGTACCTCACTCATTACGAAACGCGAAAGAATAATACTTAAACTTCACGCCAGCCTTCTGTGAGGTCGTGGTATCTCCCCGGACGAGCCTGCCCATTTATGCAACAGCAGAAGCTGCTGCATGGTACCACAGTTAAGTGCCTCAATCGCTGCCTTCAATAGTAACTTACACTATGACATAATACTGTTAAAATAGGATCAAGAAATGAAGTCAGCAGTTGTTTGATAACTGCACTCCGTTTGTTAGGGTTCCGTACCCTAAGAATGAAACGGGACCCTATTACGAAGACTCCGCAGTCTGTCTGTCCGTCTGTCACCAGGCTGTATCTCATGAACCGTGATAGTTAGACAGTTTAAATTTTCACAGATGATGTATTTCTGTTGTATGCCGCTTCTAAAAAATACTAAAAAAAACAGAATAAAAAATATTTAAGTGGTGCTCCCATATAAAAGACATGATTTTTTTTGCCCTTTTTATGGATAATGGTACGGAACCCTTCGTGCGCGAGGCTGACGCGCATTTGGCCGGTTTTTCTTGCCTTTTAAGCTGCATACATTATTTCTTTTATTAATTTATGTCCTTGTCTTTTTTTATAATTATGTTTCATTTAATGGATTATATGTATATTTATTGGATTACATGATATTATATGTATATATATTACTATGTTGTATATTGGTTATAATACAAAGGTCGCTCTTGAGACATATTTTAGTAGTGACTCTCCGACGTGGTGAATGCCGGTCGGGCTCAGCGCCTTGACACAGTTCCGCCATATTTCGATCACTCTTATACACACGCACCTGTTCCAAGTTCTACTAAACAAACCATCAACAATGAGAACTGGTTCTTCAGGCGCCATTGTGGTAACTTAAAGTATTAGTAAAGTTACCCGTGAAGCTTATTCGAAGCGTGTGTATAGGTTCGTTTTTAATTGGACGTCTTGCTTATAAATTGGTTTTTCTTTTGAAATATTTCTTAATATAGGGCTACCCTGTGAATTAATGTCATCATAAATGCAAAGTACTCCTAAAATCCGAGTTGCAAGTTTAACGCGACAAAAGCTTAAAAAACACATAAATTACAAATAAATTATTGTTCACTAGCGGCCCGCCCCGGCTTCGCGAGTGTGCAATCTATTATACATATAAACCTTCCTCTTGAATCACTCTATTAAAAAAAAAACCGCATCAAGATCCGTTACGTAGTTTTCAAGATCTAAGCATACATAGGGACAGACAGACAGCGGAACGACTTTGTTTTTAACCGACTTCAAAAAAGATGGAGGTTTTTTATGTTACTACTGTCATAAACCACGAAGTCGTTTATGAACCGATTTTGATAATTCTTTTTTTGTTGGCAAGTAGAGATCCCAAGGTTGGTACCACGATAAGAAAACCCGGATTTGATGATGGCATCCCAGATAAATCGAGGGCAATTCTCAAATGTTGTAGGTCTTAACAATATTTTTAGTTTCCGGTTTGAAGTCGGTTTTTTTGTTATCAATAAATTTCTTCTATACTATGTAGTTATTTCAAAAAGCAAAGAATTTTATGTTATCAATGCTGCCAACTTAAGTAAATCCCGTTATAGTTTAGAGGTTACATCTAGTCTGGTTACAGTTGTGTTTCCCGCCGGATAACACTACACCCTCAGTTAGTGTAACAACAATCACACCAGTTCGCCCTCGCCTCCGAGCACGGCGAGACCCACACAACGCGTACACCAGGTACACCCGCGTTTCGGGGCGGTTCTCACCGCTCCCAGCCACCGATTAGCTAAATGCACAGTCGACGGCCGTCGGGGTCTCGGTCCGAACCGCGACCTCGACGGCCCTTAGATGACACACCATAGTAGTTAAACGCACGCATGAGCACATGCGCGACCCTACCCATAGCGGGTCCAAACCCGTGGGTTCTGGCTAGCCCACCGGTTCTGCATCCGATGAAGCTTTAATAGTCTCGGAACTGAAAGCAAAAACATAATTTAATACAAGATACAGTTGTGTTGGCCTGATTAATTTCTATGTGGGCGATAACATTATATCGATGTATTGACGTGTAACAACCACCCACCGGATTGAAGTAGGTACCATTAGAATTTTCAAATCGAAATTGAGTTAGCCTTATCTTATCATCATGAATACATTTTGTTCTGTATTGACTAGTTTTAATATTAAAAAAGACAAACACAAACTCTTATTTCGAGATGGAAGAGGAAAAAACTATTAGCTACTGGCTTCAATGTTTAACTTTATTTTTTTCTCGTTAGCGGGACTTTCAAACTAGTATTGTCGCCTTCAAGATGAGAGCGTATATCTTGAAGAGATACCCGACGTATATTTGGGTGGTAATCTTCGTCCATACTAAAAATATTTTAATTTGAGCCGTCCCATGTAATTCGATGTAGAACATAACTAGCGTATGTTAGTTACATTATATGTACGTAAATTTTGCGAAGTCCCCACATACGAAATAATTATCTGTTTCTCAGAAATACTTGCTCCTAACGAGATTTATATACTCTTGCTCCTAATGAGTGGCTATTTGAGTCTCTTGAATATAAAAATGAAATTAATGGCGCATTCAAAGATAAATCACCTTTCTTCTACCTTACGCATAAGTGCTGACCATTATTAAAACCACGCTAAAATATTATATTTATAAAATTATCACGTCCAGTTTATGCAGTTGTTTCGAAGATCAAGAACATTAAGTTAATTCAAGGATAGACAAAAAACTATAATGAGCGTTCGGCTGACTAAAAGACCATTGTCCATAAAAGATATCCCTCACATATGCGATGATGTTTAATAAAACAAGTCTGAAAAAAAAAAACAACAAGCATTGTCTTGCTTGTTTATGTATGGACAATCCCGTTTTCTTTTCATAAAGGCGCCACGTTATGTTTCTAAAAAAGAGTACGTATTATAGTTGGAAATCTAGACAGACAAAGCAACTATGTTAATGGCTAGATGACGCAACCAAACGTGCTAAATTTAGAACGTTTCAAACGGAAAGGGGCTCCGTTTTAGCAAATGTCAAAACAGTCGAGAAATTCTCTTGGGGGGGCATGCGCAGTGGAGATCCGATCAATGCACCCTCCGACTGCGCGCGCCACCCTCGCCCTACGCCGAGGCCAGCTACGCAGTTCGCCACGGAGAAAACACCGCTTGTGCCCCGACGCGTCACTCCGTGCGCTCTTGGTAATTTTAACACCCAACACCCAACGCCTAACGCACACCGAGCTCTATTCGCTAGTCCAAGGTATTAGTGAACACGCCGCTCCTATTGTGTTTCGGCATTAAGGACGCCCACGCTCCTTCGCTTGGTTCGCGTTTCGCCAGTCGGCTGGCAGCCGCGTGACTCATCGGATAATCCCGAAGATCCGACGCGTCGCTGATTGTCTCATGGGCTCGGTGTCGCTGGACTGAGGCTGAGCCAGTTCGAATGCCGGTGAGCCGGCTCCGCGTGACCGGTTTGATGAGCGGCCCACGGAGCCGCGAGGAGTGAGCCCACCCCACCACCAGCAGGGATGGATGACTGCACCAGCCTCTTCTATGACGACGACGGTGAAGCTCAGTGCGATATGGTACGTGGTATTGTGGTACGCCATTTTTCGCTTTGCCGCACCCTAAAAAGACACACAGCTGTTATTTTACACTCCAATTAACGAATACTATTTGACCATTTGAAATTTTAACGTTTAGAAGAACTGTCAACGATGGAACAGGTGAACACAAAATGGACGTCTAAACTTTAGCAAATACTCTTTTATTAATCCTTGTTTTCAGATAATAGAAAACCTATGATTTTTTCACGGGCAATCAATTTTATCTTAATATTTACCTGCAATACATGACAAAGATTTTGGTATCGATTCGCACAATGCACTGATTAAGCATACTGCAGAAAGTTATATAACTACAACAAAGTCTATGATAGAAAGAAAATATACATTGCGAAACGTGTTTAAACCACTGAATACTGGTACGAAAAGCAAGATGGAGTTTCTTTGATACGAATAGGAAGAATTTAGTTAGACGCAAATAATTTTGTTAGAATTTCAGAGGTATCTAGCAAATTCACGCTTTAGCGTGATGGATGGTAATTAATTATAAATGAATTTATTCACAAAAACGCCGCTTTATTATTTTGTGTGCAAGTTTGTTAATGTGTTTGGAAAGTTATTTAGCATTCGCATAAACTGTCGTTTTACATAGATAGACATATTAGCATTTTTGAAAGGTGGAACGATAAAGGATTGCGTTTATAAAGTAATAATCCTGGTTCTTTGTTTTTGTACATATCACAATAAATTCAATGACTGCAAGAGGAAACTTATGCTGCAGGAAGTCAAGAACGAACGAGCATTGACTAATTAAACTTGATTAACGTTAATTACATCAAGTTGCCGAAAATTATTAGAGTTTTATGGTATGAAGTCAATTTAAAACACGCTGCTTCTCTTATTTAAAACACGCCTTTCATTGTTGGTCATCCTGTACAACTTTCTGAGTATTGTTCAGTTAGAGTCATAAGTAATTTAAAAACTATTTAGACTGTCTCTTTAAGCATTTACAAAAGCTTATCAAAAATGAGTTTAAATGAAATATAAAAATCATATATTCCTGATGTGTTAAACTAAAATTCAAATGTGAAATCAATTACCATACCATTACTCGCGAATAAACGAAACATTTTAATTTAAATGGATTCTTCTTGTACAGAGAAAAAATATAGATTTTCATCCGTTCTGAAATGTATCTTAAAAATGTAGTCAAATTTCATCGTTAAGTAAATTTATTTGATTAAGGATGCAAAATTTTTGTTTTTCAATTAAAAAAAATGAAAGAAGAGAAATTATATTTAAGACACAACTTCAAGATATTTGCCTGCGTAGATCGGATTAAATTCTATATGCTTAAAGCTGACGGTGGCTCAAAAAACATAGTAAACAATGAAAATTTCGGAATTCCCGTACATAAACACAGCAAACTATTCAAAAACCAATAATATCCATTAAAAGTTTTTAATACAAAGTGCAGAATTTGGGAGAATATAACAAAAAAGGTTTTGGTTACTTTTTATAATAATCGTTTATTTGTTATTTGTGCTTCTGCCTTGAATTTCTTTATTAAAACCTTGGCCGCACGGAACTCACAATGTTTGGATTTGTTTTTTAATGCAGAATTAATAAGGCCATAAGAATGCATAACTTTTTCTGTTGAACTTGACCATTTTTCTTTTGAGTTTACTTCCATAATGAGGTACATTGCAAATGCTTTTACGACTATAGCGTGTATTTGAATAATAGAATATTAAATGTATGAAATTATTTATTTTAAATGAAATCATTACCTTCTTTAACAAGCGTTATTACATTTTCGTATAAAACGATTCGTAAGAACGCTTCTTCTCGGTCTTTGTGGTGTTGTTTTTTTTTTTTTGTTAAAAGTTGGAAAACGAGCATGCAGCCCACCAGCTGTTAAGGGATTACCGGCCGCTCGTGGACACCTTATTTGTCAACATTAAACAAGTAGGCCCCGTTACCTCACCAACAAATACCAATAATATTTACTTCACGCTGGTATGAGGCTGCGATCTAGTCCCGGACAAGCCTGCACATTCGTGCAACAACCGAAGCTTCTGCGTGGCTTTAGCACAGAAGAAATTCTTTTAATCGAGCCAACTGTGCACAACATTAATAAGCGAACGAAAATTTCAACAGTTATTTACTTTAACTCTGAGATGACAGTTATTTCTTGAATCAGGATTGAACTGTGTGGTAGGGCCACACAACAGTATTCGCTGTTGCACGAATGTGCAGGTCATTTCGGGTACCAACACCTCAAAGAATACCGGCGTGAAGTAATACTTCTGCGTTTCATCTGATGAGTGGGGTAGCCTTTGTTAAAAGATGGCAACGCATCTGCAACTCTATGGGTGCTGCAAATGTTAATGGGCGGCGGTTATCACTTAACATTAGGTGAACAGCTAGCTCATCTTCCACCTTCTCACATAAAAAATAACATTGGAATAAAAGTGGAATTAAGAATTAAAACACGATGGATTAAAAAATCCGTGGCCGTAAGGATGAATGGTTTTTTGGCTGTCATAATAGGACCTTTGTTGCGGTATTATTCCGGTTTTTAAATTAAAACGAGTTAATTGAGACCAAGCGCGCTGATTTTATAATAATATGAAGAACATTGAACGACAACAAAACGCCAAAAATTAATAAGGAGTTGAAAACATGAGGAATCTGTGTCGTCGTATACCTTTCTGAATTCAATCTTGGACGAGGGATCCAAGATGACCCTCCGGACTTCTACGATTGGAGAAAATATGGAAAAAGTGTGTGATCTTATATTGGCGGTTCGGAATTTCTCACATCTTCTTGGGTTTTTGGCTAGATGAGTCACCAGACTACTTTTACTCAAGCAAAAACAAAAGCGACTCACAATTTTTCGCGTGTAATTAGAATTGCTTAAGGCGAATCCACAAGATTTTGAATAAGAGCTTTTAAATGAAACGAAAATTACATAACTTATATAAGAACCCTTAGTCTGTTTTATTCAGCGCAATCAAATTAGAGAAACCGTTGGCTCCAGCTTTGTACCGCTCAGTCGTACCATATTTTAGGATTCACACGAGTTTCTTACTAAAAATAGTAACCCTACGGAAGGACCTGGGGTCTTTTTATTAATTCTATCTGGTATTTACTAAAATAACATTTACTATATGTGTCAATGTAATAAAAATAGATAAACATAGCTACTTTACTTTATTTATTATATTGACGGCCTGGGACAGCAGTTAATCTCCATACCTGATAAGCTCATCGTTGGTCCAAACGGTAATTTGGACATAAATTTACCCTCAAAAGTACATAAACAACGCTCTTACGTGCAGATTGCAGTTGCGTGAAACGCCATTAAATAATTTGTACCCGTTCGGAAAGCGGCTCCTAATGCACCTCGGCTACCAACGGTGTATCTAAATGACCAAATGATTTCACGTTGCGATATAATGGTAAGTATGTGAACACATATTTTACGTGTAGTGCGAAATTCTGTCTCTCCCTGCGGGCTAGGCGTGGCAACGGCGTGTATATTAATGCAGGATATTAGCATAACACGTCTGCTTTCAAATTTTATCATAGGATTCAAGAACATTTACTACGCGTGCATTTTACGTATAAGTGGGCATAAAATCATTAGGGGCTTTATTTAACTGGATAAGAAGCCAAATAAAAATATTATTTTCCTTTGCTTAATATAATTAATATAAAATTAAGGTCAGTTCAGAGGGGAGCTGATAAGAAACTTTGCGGCTGAAACTTATTTTTAAATGGTAACAACAGACAATACAAACATTAAAGACCAAAATATGCATAGTAAGAGTCGCTCACCTTCGGAATCTTTAATGGCAAATTTCGCAACATTCATACCGCTTATTTATTATAGAATATTGTCCCCTATGGACGTTTGTAATGCTATCAAAACTGAAAAAGCGTTGCCAGCCGTTAAGAATAAGCTCTTTTTTTTTGACGGTCCCTTTACAAGAAGTTAATTTGTGTGAGAACGAGGCAATCGAGGTGGTTCACGGTACCAATAGTAATAACCGCGGCGGATAGATATTTCATACCTACGGTGCATACCATATACTGTAGAAACGTTGCAAAGTTTAAAAAAAAATAGGATCCCGGTTGGTTATCTCACTCAACAGACTAACAAAAACTATGATGCTTTCAGTTCATGGCGGTCTTCTGTGAGCACATGAGTCTTAAAGGTCTAAAAGAAGAACAGGAAAAGTATGATGCGTCCACTTCACAGTGGTCTTCTTTGGCCCTCACCTGGACGTGCCTACCCATTCTTGCAACGGCAGAAACTTCCGCGTGATCTTACCACGATAAAAAATAATGTTATTGTGTTGTACTACTTTGTACATTGTAATGTATGTAACGACGAATGACTTGTAGATTCTAGTACGCAAGTGTGGAACTTGTGAACCGCTGCTGTTATTGGCTTCCGAGCGTAGCAACTTGCACCGCATTGAAGCATAGATGACGTTTTGATTGCTGCGGTCTCAATGATATTATCGATTTCACCATGCCATTATTTTGATGGGACAAGAGCACGTTACTTCTTCATATTGTTTTCTAAGACGTGGTCTTTCTTGACGTTTGCCGCCGTAATGTGACAATCTGTAACAATATTTAGCCGTCGTTTGGACGTGTCAATCTTTATAAATATTATATAATTCTAAGTACGTGTGTGTCACTGAACTCCTCCTAAGCGGCTGGATCGATTTTAATGAAATTTTGTGTGTGTCTTCAGGTCGATTCGAGAATGGTTTAGATTCACAATTCAGTCCAATTTTTTTTATATATAACTTATCGTTCTTTGGGCGCACGGGTGCAATGTAAGTACGTGTGTGTCATACAATAAACCTTCCGCTTTAATCACTCTATCTAGTAAAAAAAACTGCATCAAGATCCGTTGCGTAGTTTTAAAGATCTAAGCATACATAGGTATAGGTACAGATAGACACCGGGACGAATTTGTTTTATACTATGTAGTGAAGGACTAATCAATTCTTATGAATGTTAAA